ACTCAATAGGAACTAGCAGACAAACAAAAATCTCATCTTCTGATCCCAGAGATCTCAGAGGATGAGATTCCACAAGGCGACGATGACAATCATGAGAGGCAGGCGCAGAGGACCAGAGAGCTGGCCTTTGAGCAGGACATGCTGTACGAGCGGGAGAGCAGGATAAGACAGATCGAGTCTGATATACTGGATGTGAATCAGATCATGAGAGAGTTGGGGTCTTTGGTGCATACGCAAGGAGAGACGATAGGTGAGGAAGGGTCTCTCTGAAAATTTGCATTTTGGGGAATTGAAAACCCCCAGTCAAAACTCCAACGAGAAACTTGAAACTCAGATTTCAATCTATTTATTCATTTCAACGGTTACAACATTTTTATAAAAGAAATAATAATAGGAGCAATGAAAATTACACTCATACAAAAATAGCACTCAAGTTATATTCATTTTATTAACTAGGTATTCATAATTATTTTCACAACATTAGTTTTGAATTTACTTAGACTTTGAAGATCAACATAATTCCTTTGAAGCCTTGAAATAAGGTTATTGTTGCCATAATTCGTTGAGTGAAAGGTCAAGGAAAATAAAGGAGGATTTCTTGTTCTGGCTGACGTATTGAAACTAAGAAAATCCGGAGAATTAGTAAGGCCATTTACCAATTTATATAGGAAACACATATCCAACGCTAATCTACGATTTCCTAAAGATAGGAGATTGAGTTCCATTAAGATATCTGTGTAGTTTATATGAGCAACGTGATAACCTTGCGATATGAATATGTTCTCAAGAACCTTTTCCGAATTCGCTCTAAACTATCTATATGTATTTGATAAAAAGGTGTCCAAATGATGGAACCATACTCTAGTGAAGGTCTGACCAAATGGCAATAAAGTGAACTATGTGTTTCAGAAGAGAATTGTTTACCACCTTACTACCTTAGTAATATGACTTCCAAACGTTAGTTTAACATAAAATATTATGCCTAAGTCCTTTATATCTCATTGACTTTCTTCAATACAGAATTATTCATTATATAAGCGTTCTCAATATAATTATGACCCATAGAAAAACACTTTAAAATATTGAGGTCCAAAATAATTAACCCTTGACCAAGCATTGAAGTTATTCAAATCAGATTGCAGCAGATCAATATCCATATGATGCTGAATTTCTTTAAATATTTTGAAGTCATCTGCATATAACGTAAAAACAGAGTGAAAAATATTGCTTATATCGTTAACAAACGAATTGAAAAGTAACGGTCCACAATGAGAGCCTTGAGGAACTCCTGACAATACTGGAATCACATTAGATTAAAAACTTTTGATTCTCACACATTGTTGACAACTAAGAAACTCTCAATCCATGCTACCAAACCCAGATTTATACCCATATCCATGAGTTTTGCTTATAATAAAGTATGACTCACCCTGTCAAACGCCTTTGAAAAATCGGTATAAATACTATCAACTTGGGTATTATTCTCAAAGGCGTTCAACAGGAAGTTCTGATATGTTGAGAGGTTACTATAATGGTAGATTTGAACAGAACAACAAAATTGAAAAAGAATCTATAAAAAAATATATTGCAGTTTGCAATTTCAAGTTTGTATTCACATATTACCTTGATTATATATATAGTCCATTATTGAGGATCCCTTTTCAAAAATGATTACCACTTCTCAATAACTGTGTGTACTGAAATCTCGACTGAAATTAATGAAAATGTGACAAATCATGTCAGACACTTTGACATATTTTAGAAATTTTCACTAAATGATTCTGAATTTGGTAATAAATTATCAATAGTAATTACACAAGTGGTGGTAATCTGTGGTAATAGTGCATGAGTGGGATTTCTCAATAGCAACAAAGAGGAGTGCTTATCTAGTTGAAATTATGAAAAAAATGTAATTCAGCATGATTATTTTTTTAACTATTTCGCAAAATGCCACGTCTCATACTTTGGTTTTGCATCATTTTTGTTCCAACAAAACAGCCTATCGATAACAAGGCAGTCTATGGGCCCCTTTTGCTTTGTAGATCATGAGAAGCTGTTTAGGTGGTGTTGTTTTTGAATAAGAAAAACGCAGTTTAAGGAGGAAATAGATTTATGATATATTTATAATTATGATAATTACTGATTGAAATTGACAATCAACATATTTAACTCCATTCTGAAGCAAAACATAGAATATGTACACAGGGGGAAAGCATTGAAAATACTACATAGTCAACAAGTAGATTTTCACATGGAACAAAGTTTTTGTGAATAAATATGTATTTTTCAACAATCCTAACTATCAGATTCATAATATAGGATAGCTTTTCTTTTGAAGTGTTGAAAGATATTTTTGAAACATTAAATGAAGTACCTATTTAATTGAACATATTATTCCAATTGGAAAGGGTCAGATATTTCATGCTATTTGTTGGCAGCAGTTACTGTCAAGTCTGCATTGTCTTTTGTCAATGTTGATTATAAAAGATTTGAAACACCCAAGGAAGGACCCAAGAATTTGTTCTTTCTCGTAAATAATAACAGATTTAACAGTTTTTGATCTTATAGAAATACAATAATTTCCACACTGAACCCGATTTTATTCAATTTGACAACCTTGTCTTGTAGTCAACCCCACAATGCAAAAGGTCTAACCCTTGAAAATCAATTGACATAGCTCTGAACTAGAATCGTCATCATTTTTAATATCAGTGGTATGAAAAAAATCAACAGTATTGGCTGGTTGATATCTATTTCCTTTTAAAAATTAGCCTTGGTGGTATTCTTGATGTTTTTTTTTCACATTCCAGATACAATAGAGAATAGTATTGACCATGCAGTTGGCAATGTGGAAGAAGGTGCTGAACAACTCGTAAAAGCATCACAATATCAAAGAAAATATAGGAAGAAACTGCTTTATTTGGCATTAATTGGATTAATTATTGCTGCTATTATCATAGGTATATTGGTATCTGAACTGAAAAAATAGATCTAAGAAAAATAGTTTGTCTTGGATCATTAACAACTCCTTATATTTGTGATTATTAGTATTTATTAAGTTTGTTAAGGGGACAATTTTCAATGTTTTACCCTTTTATACTGTACGTACCTATCTAATTCAGAATATATTATTTTACCAAAACTCAGTGAACAAACTTTATTTATCTATTTATTAAATATGAAGGTAAAAATGAAACTGAAGCTGGAAAGTGGATATTTTTATGATGGCATTCTAAATTGATTCAGTTTTAATGAAAGTACCTATGCTCCTAATATTAATATATTATGTATATGGTATTTATTGAAATGAAAAGTTGTTTTAATTTGTTGGATCAAACAAAAAATATGTAGGTATAAGATATTATCAATTAATTGTGAATGTTAAAGTAGCTTGCATGCCCAAAAAAACACCATCTGGGTGACTTACAAAACTTCATGTTTACTCATATGCCTGCACTTATATCAACAGCAATATCAAATATCAGGACAAATAATTATTCTATTTATACTATACACTTTATTCAAATTTCAAATTTAGAGGTAAACTTGGCCAAACCACTGGTTTTGAATGTTCTAAATGTCTTTCATAATTCAACTGAATGGCAGTTTCCATCCCCATCAATTTTTGGGCTCTTGCACCATAGATTCTTTGCATTTCTTCTAACCTATTTTTGTTTTCTGGGATAATGGGAAGAACTTCTTGTTGTTCATGATTCACATTACTACAAGTTCTGTGACTACTATTCTTTGTAGGTACACTTCCTACATCTTCCATAGTCTCTTCAGTTCCTACTGTTGTATTGATATGATTATTTGAAGATTCATCTTCTATTGTCTTGGCATATACATTTCTCAAGTGCTGCCTCAACATTTTATTTTCCAGTTCTAAGCTGATAGCCCTTGACTTCCAGTATGCAATTTGATCTTGTTTTTGCCATTCTAAAACTTCCAGTGGTAAATTTGACGGACAGTATGTAGGCGCCCAATCCATTCCAGATATATCAACCACTTCAACTGCTGAACACAACTCTTCAGCACTTCTATTGTATCTCACTTTTTTCAGGCTCCTGTGGTATCGAATTTTGCTACGTTTCCTGCGTATTTGCCTTCTGGCGTTTTTGTTGGAGCGCTTGTATGTTTTGAATGAATTGTTCTTCAGAATTTGTTTAACTGAAACTGTCCTATCGCTGTTTTCATGATTTTTTGTGTTTTTGGGCATAGTAAACAAGAAACATAACCTGTTTTATTCTAATATTTCAAAATGACAGTGACAGTGTCATGACATTTGTGATCAGTGTTACCAAAATTTAAGACCTAAATTAACTAGATACTAGATCCAGAATCAAACAGACCGTTCTTTTGTACGATCAGTGTGATTGCAGAATTTTTCTGTACTCTGTGTAATTTACATCAGTACTAGATCATTCTTTTGACAAATGCATTTGGCACCAGTGTAGTTCATCTTCACCTGGCGTGACCTGGCTTTGGGCAGATGTGAATATGTGAATAACACTCAAAATCAGAATGACTCGAAATATATATGTTTGGTTATATTTGACATGGATCTGAGTGAGACCAGTGCTGAAGCCCTGAAAAACGGTAAAAAGTGGACAAGAAATTATAAGTAAGCTGAAATAAAAAAGGAACTGGGTATAGCAAAGATGTGGGGGAAAATAAATTACGGGTAATCTGAGGTCGGGAAGTGGTATTCAAGGGTAAAAACGGTTTATCCCGATTTCCCGCAAAACTACAAACCCTATGGAAAACAGTTCATATAATAGCATAGCTGTAGGTAATAGAAAGTTATCATACTTTTATATCCATACTTTTTTAACATGACCTCAGAATTTTTGTGAAAAATTCAAATAACCAAGTTTTTGGAATTTCATTTTTATCGTTCACGAAGAAAATTACCTCTTTACGTCCCAAATGCCCTGTAGTTTTTTTGATTCAAAATATTAATTTTTTCACCATATTTTGTTTATCAAAAATGCAACCTAATTTTCAATCGAGAATTCTCGCGTCAAAATATGTTAAAATATCTACTTTCTGATGGTGTGAAAGAATATATACATTACTGTGGTGGATGTTCTCAGAAAATGCGAATAAACGAAAAAGCAGCAGTCACATTTTGATGAAATCCTCTTCATAATTAAGAACAACAATTTTCGCATGTTTTTGCAATTCTAATAGATTTGAAATTTGTGTATTCATCGATGTAACATAGAATCTAAAGCTTTTCGAGTAACTAGTGTTGATTTCAATAAATAGCTCAAAATCATACAGGATTGAAAAAAAAATTGTCGGATTCGAATTCCGTTCCTCTAGTTCCTTCATTAAGCTATATGTTCATGCATGAACGAATTCCGCAAAATTTATGCGAATAAAATGGCGACTGCGAATATCGCAATGAAGTTGAAATATTTGAACTTTTTCACGAATTCGGATGGAAATACACAGTATGCATAGAATGTGTTGTTATTTCGATAACATCAAAATTGGGGTATAAGGGAGCGAACAGCAGAGGCCGCAAAAAAGACAAGACTAGATATACTAGACTACAGGTAAGTACAGAATTATAATGAAAAACTTCATCATTTCTTCATTTGATTAAATTTCCTTTGCAGGATGGATTCTCTGGACGAATTAATTTTGATATATCATTTGTATCGTCTCTATAGAACTAATGATGTATCCAGAAGCAAAAAAAGAAGCTGCAGTGTTCGAGGCATTTTGAAATACCGAAAAATGTATAGAGATTATTACAGCCTCGTTTGATAAATGCGACTGAATGACCCTAATCTAATAAATATTTCAATTACTTTCGTGTAACGTGATGATTTTCTATCAATTGATCATTCTAGAACACGTGATTTTGACATGGTTTCTTGAGGGGCACACAAACTATCTGTTAGTTTACCTTTGATGAGCATTGCTCTGGCTGTCCCTGCCACATCCACAATATAATAACAGTTCCACCAAACAAAATTATGAAATTCTTTCTGGTTCCAACTCGGATTCCAAGGAAAACGATCCCACTAATTCTGGTTTTATATGACAAATCTTGACAAAATACAATGTTTGCCCCTCAGCAACCTGACAAATGACGTAATTCTGGAATGATTAATGGTGGGACCAGAAATAAAAATATTATATATGACAACGAACCCTTATCTCCTGCAAATTTTGTCGCATGAGTATGAACGTCGAATTCTGTTGGGAACTTCATATTTTGCGATTCGCATAAATCTTGCGGAATTCGTGCAAGCATGAACATACCTTAACCCGTCAAACAGTCTAGATATTTAACCGACATTAATCAGTCCAATCATGGCGCGCTATAAGCGATTTGAGTGCGATTCGGACCGCGGTGTTCGGTGTTTGTCTGAAATGTTTCAATGTGAGTTCTACGAAGGCGTAGAGAGGCCATCAACTTATTTTTATTCCAATTCCGAGTTGTAACTCGGAATTCCGAGTTGTTGAGGTACTGAAGTACTGAATAATGACTATAATGAATTAACATGTGATGTAAATCAGGACCATTTGCTATTTGCTTAGTGTTTTCACATTCCTGATATGAAAAAATCTGTGCTTTAATGAGCATATCACCCACAGATAAACGACCTAGCAAGAAGAAAAAGGGAACTTTGATGAGAAACTAATGGATATGTATCAGATAGTTCATAACAGGTACCGTGCAGGTACCTAGGAAAAAAGTTTTCTACCGACCTACTTGAACTGATGAATTCAGTGTTTCCTCATAGATCTAATTACACGTTTCCTGTAATTGAAAACTTTCATTTTGCATGAAGTGAATCGAAACTTGATGGTCCAATACAGAGATTGGTTTCCTGTGATTGAAAACTTTCATTTTGTATGAAGTGAATCAAAACTTGATGGTTCAATAATACAGAGTTTGGAAACATGTTTTCAATACAAACATAATATAGAAAGATAAAAATCACCCATCTTGGGTCCCATAGCAGCATATGATAGCAATCATGCATCAGAACCAAGAGACCTGGTATGTTCTCAAGAAAACATCTAATTATCTACCTACTTTACTTCAATCATAAATTCTTGCTTCCTTGCTAAACTTGATGGTATCTAGGTATATTCATTAAATTATGTAACATTTCATATTTTATAGTGTAATGAAGAAAGTGTCCTGGGAAATGGAGACAGAAGAGATAATTGGTGAACATCTGATCAATATATTATTGTTGTTATTCTAGAATTACAGTTTCTTTCAACTCCAAATAAGTTGCTGTTAAATATTTTGTATTATACTACTTATACATAGTTTGTTGTGATTTATTTTTATCTATTATAAAAGAAGATGGATATAGTAAGTAAGTATATCAAAATTGTACCTATTTAATAAATGAAAAATACTTGCATTATATATTATTTCACAGAAGGTAATATATTAAGGAAATATATATTACAAAAGATCTACATGTCATGGAAAGATGTTCATAGAACATTTATTTTATATTCAGTGATCTGATTGAAACAAATATAAACAATGATCAAATGATAATTATATAAATACATATTTTTTTATGGAACTAATCAAATACAAAACTACATACAGAATTCACAAAATGCTGACTGGTGTACCTAAAATACCTACAAATTCAAAAAGGAACCATATGATTTCACATTCATCATTGTCACAATTACTTAATCATATCATATAGTAGTTCCAGGTTCCATCATCAGCACTTTAACATTTGCAAAAATAGTCCATTTTTGTAGAAACTTCACTTCTGCTGAAATAAAAGTTCAGGCTCAGGCATCACAACTTCAGCGGAATTCTGAGTTACAACTCGGAATTCCGAGTTACAACTCGGAATTCTGAGTTGCAAGTCGGAATTCCGAGTTACAAGTCGGAATTCCGAGTTACAAGTCGGAATTCCGAGTTACAACTCGGAATTCTGTGTTGTAAGTCGGAATTCTACAAGTCGAAATTCTGAGTTGCAAGTCGGAATTCCGAGTTACAACTCGGAATTGGAATAAAAATATTAAGTTGATGGCCTCTCTACGCCTTCGTAGAATTCTTCATATTTGTTAAGTTAAAAATTCACCGCTATGTTGAAAACGCTGGAATTCCGACTTGTCTCAAATCAAGGGCCCGAGACGCACCTTCACTACCAAAGTACCAACATAATTGTGTTATGCTCACTACTCATGAATGATCTAAGGAATGTCTCGTCACAGATTAGACAACTGACATAACTATAAGTTGAACCCTTGAACTAACCCTACTTTCTGTTTCTCTTTTCTTGTTACTGTTTTTCGACTTTTCGAATTTTCGAGATATTTGTATTATTTGTAATAAAAAAATATTTGAAGCTGCCTTGAGGAGGAATTGCTTCCATTTTCCACGAGAAGAATGGCTGAGGCAATGAAACAAACCGTAGCATCCATGCTCAAAGGGATTGAAAGGTATTTAATTTGTCTAGCATTTTATCATCATAGTTTTGTTGAAGAGTTTTCCTATAATTCCTATTTCGAGCTTATATTACGTATAACGAATCTTATTTTGTACAATTTCTCATCTGTATTCAATGATCAATAAGGGCCTACCATAAAAAGGCATTAGGAATACATTTTGTAAACTCATCACCTATTTTCCAGGTATAATCCTGACAACTTACCAACTCTGGAACGCTATGTAGAAATCCAGTCCCGTGAGAATGCTTATGACCTTGAAGCGAATTTGGCTGTATTAAAGCTGTACCAGTTCAACCCCCACAGTTTCAACATCAGTGTAACATGTCAAATTCTACTCAAAGCACTCACAAATCTTCCTCACACTGATTTCATACTGTGCAAATGTCTTTTATATGAGAAGCAGGTAAGGAAACACATTTTTTCAATTTCTGAAAGCCCTGTTCACTAATACTGGAGAATACTCTCCATTAATTTTAAACATGAGTTTTCTACAATACACTTCATTCCTTTATTCCACTGTGCTCAGTACCTTCCTAATATGAGGGCTTCAGTATGAATTACATATTACCAATGTGCAGTATTGCTTTGTTTTCGAGTTTTATAGTGTACTGCTGAGCCATACTTTGCATCACCTTAGATGTCTTAAGTTATATTGCATATTGAAGTTACAGTTTGCAACTATTTTGGGTGGGTGTTTGAGGAAAAATTATATCTCATTTGATGAATGATATTTCATAAATGACCATTTGGTAATCACACATGATTGATGCTACTGTGATAGAAAGATTTTATTGTAGTACATGTGAAAAATTCATATGCTTATCAAAACACACATCATTCATATGCAGAGATTGCTGATGAGTCATTGGTGGATTGAAATTGGAACATTTCCATTTTGTCCTCAAATTATATTGTTTTTGTTTGAATTCTAGTTATAAAATGTTTGATAGTTGTTTAACGCCAAGTTTTGGGTTTCGTTATTGAAAATATATTTTTATTACAATTTTGACATTTTACCTCCTAGAAATATTCATGTCCAAAGTCATACTGATTGAATTATGGTGAATTTCAATTCATCATGTTCATCATGTTCAAACAAATTTCCTATACATATAAGGTGCAACTACTGGAAGGTTAAGTAGATTACCATAGATAATGAATACATCATCTTTATTCTGCTCATAACATCATTTCATATTTTGTTCCTAACTTGATGAACCGGTGTGAAAATAGAAACGGTCTCCGTATCGGAAACGAAATGATAGTATATGCGCACAGGTGTAAAATATTATTACATCGATTCTTCCGTTTTAACCTCGGTTTTAACATTCAGATATCGACTGAAACCATTGCGATCCAAATGTTTTGCGTCAATATGATGATTATAATGATGAATTGGGGTATACACCCAAATAGGGTGCTACTACCCCTATATATAGATTAATGTCTTCAGAACTAATCAAAACCAAATTAACTCATCGTTTTTGAAAATCTATATTCGATAGGATATTCAAAATGAGTGAGAGAAACATACCAACCCTGTTCCAGAATTTGTATATCAAAACTCACCCTGGAAACCACCCCCGAATAGATGAAAATTACGTAAAATTATGTGAAATAATCGTTTCTGGAAATTTCTTCCTGACAATATCATTAGAACGAACAGAGAAAACATACCTACCCTGTTTAAGAATTTGTATCCCAAAACTCACTCTGAAAACCACCCCCGAATAGATGAAAATTACGTAAAATTATGTGCAATAATCGTTTCTGGAAATTTCTTTCTGACAATATCATCAGATCGAACAGAGAAAACATACCTACCCTGTTTCAGAATTCGTATCCCAAAACTCACCCTGAAAACCACCCCCGAATAGATGAAAATTACGTAAAATTTTGTCAATGATCGTTTCTGAAATTTTTTTCCACACAATATCATCAGAACGAACAGAGAAAACATACCTACCCTGTTTCAGAATTTGTATCTCAAAACTCACCCTGGAAACCACCCCCGAATAGATGGAAAATACGTAAAATTATGTCAATGATCGTTTCTGAAAATTTTTTCCTCACAATATCATCAGCACGAACAGAGAAAACATTCCTACCCTGTTTCATAATTAGTATCCCAAAACTCACCCTGAAAACCACCCCCGAATAGATGAAAATTACGTAAAATTATGTGCAATAATCGTTTCTGGAAATTTCTTTCTGACAATATCATCAGATCGAACAGAGAAAACATACCTACCCTGTTTCAGAATTTGTTTCCCAAAACTCACCCTGAAAACCACCCCCGAATAGATGAAAATTACGTAAAATTATGTGCAATAATCGTTTCTGGAAATTTCTTTCTGACAATATCATCAGATCGAACAGAGAAAACATACCTACCCTGTTTCAGAATTTGTATCCCAAAACTCACCCTGAAAACCACCCCCAAATAGATGAAAATTACGTAAAATTATGTCAATGATCGTTTCTGAAAATTTTTTCCTCACAATATCATCAGAACGAACAGAGAAAACATACCTACCCTGTTTCAGAATTTGTATCTCAAAACTCACCCTGGAAACCACCCCCGAAAAGATGAAAGTTACGAAAAATTATGTGAAATAATCGTTTCTGAAATTGTTTTTCTCACAATATCATCAGAACGAAGAGAGAAAACATACCTACCCTGTTTCAGGATTTGTATCTCAAAACTCACCCTGGAAACCACCCCCGAATAGATGAAAATTACGTAAGATTATGTGAAATAATCGTTTCTGAATTTTTTTTCCTCACAATATCATCAGAACGAAGAGAGAAAACATACCTACCCTGTTTCAGAATTTGTATCTCAATACTCACCCTGGAAACCACCCCCGAATAGATGGAAATTACGTAAAATTATGTGCAATGATCGTTTCTGAAAATTTTTTTTTCACAATATCATCAGAACGAACAGAGAAAACATACCTACCCTGTTTCAGAATTTGTATCTCAAAAGTCACCCTGGAAACCACCCCCGAATAGATGAGAGTTACGAAAAATTATGTGAAATAATCGTTTCTGAAATTTTTTTTCTCACAATATCATCAGAACGAAGAGAGAAAACATACCTACCCTGTTTCAGAATTTGTATCTCAAAACTCACCCTGGAAACCACCCCCGAATAGATGAAAATTACGTAAAATTATGTGAAATAATCGTTTCTGATTTTTTTTTCTCACAATATCATCAGAACGAAGAGAGAAAACATACCTACCCTGTTTCAGAATTTGTATCTCAAAACTCACCCTGGAAACCACCCCCGAATAGATGGAAATTACGTAAAATTATGTGAAATAATCGTTTCTGAAAACGTCTTCCTCACAATATCATCAGAACGAACAGAGAAAACATACCTACCCTGTTCCAGAATTTGTATCTCAAAACTCACCCTGGAAACCACCTCCAAGTAGATGAAAATTATGTAAAATCATCGTTTCTGGAAGTGTCTTCCCCACAGTATATTCCAAACGAAGAGAGAAAACATCCTTTTTTCAGAATTTTTATGTCAAAACCTTCCTTGGAAACTATCTTCGTTGTGTTATGCTCATGCAACATCATTCAAAATGATCTGAGGAAATAATAATAAACATATCTTCAAATCTCGCGGTTGCGTGTTTAGTCAAATTGTACACATGACTCACTCAGCTCTTCGCGCCAAAACAGGTTGTACCTCCCTGGCACTTCTGGGACTTTTTGTTGATGCTAATTTTCCATTATTTGGTGCACCTCCTGATAGTTTGGTTGAATTTTCAGAAATGAAAATATATGGAATGGGATGATTCCAAAGTTGTTTAAATTAAGAGAAATAAAGAGAGTATTCTTCCAGAAATAATTGATGCTAGGTACCAAGAAGAATTAAAATTATTCAACGAGAAGACGAATGAATATATTGAAGTTGTACTTCAAATCTATATATAAAAATATTTTACTGAATGAAAATAAAATCGAATACCAATTAATGTCACTATATTGCTCGAAGATATGCAAATCAGTTTCAAAACATGAGTTTTTTTCACTGAAAGGGGTGGTTGTACCTGTTGGCAAGTATAGGGAGGAGCTTAATACGTCCAATAATTTCCAGAAACGAATATTTTACATAATTTTCATCTATTCGGGGATGGTTTCCTGGGTGAGTTTTGAGATAAAAATTCTGAAACAGGGTAGGTATGTTTTCTCTGTTCGTTCTGATGATATTGTGAGAAAAAAAATTTTAGAAACGATCATTGCACATAATTTTACGTAATTTCCATCTATTCGGGGGTGGTTTTCAGGGTGAGTTTTGGGATACAAATTCTGAAACAGGGTAGGTATGTTATCTCTGTTCGTTCTGATGATATTGTGAGAAAAAAATTCCAGAAACGATTATTGCACATAATTTTACGTAATTTTCATCTATTCGGGGGTGGTTTACAGGGTGAGTTTTGAGATACAAATTCTGAAACAGGGTAGGTATGTTTTCTCTGTTCGTTTTGAATATATTGTCGGAAAGAAATTTCCAGAAACGATTATTTCACATAATTTTACGTAATTTTCATCTATTCGGGGGTGGTTTCCAGGGTGAGTTTTGAGATACAAATTCTGAAACAGGGTAGGTATGTTTTTTCTGTTCGTTTTGAATATATTGTCAGGAAGAAATTTTCAGAAACGATTATTTCACATAATTTTACGTAATTTTCATCTATTCGGGGGTGGTTTCCAGGGTGAGTTTTGAGATACGAATTCTGAAACAGAGTATTTATGTTTTATCTCTTCGTTCTGATGATATTGTGAGAAGAAAAAAATCCAGAAACGATTATTTCACATAATTTAACGTAATTTTCATCTATTCGGGGGTGGTTTCCAGGGTGAGTTTTGAGATACAAATTCTGAAACAGGGTAGGTATGTTTTCTCTCTTCGTTCTGATAATATTGTGAGAAAAAAAATTTCAGAAACGATTATTTCACATAATTTTTCGTAACTTTCATCTATTCGGGGGTGGTTTCCAGGGTGAGTTTTGAGATACAAATTCTGAAACAGGGTAGGTATGTTTTCTCTGTTCGTTCTGATGATATTGTGAGAAAAAAATTTCCAGAAACGATCATTGCACATAATTTTACGTATTTTCCATCTATTCGGGGGTGGTTTCCAGGGTGAGTTTTCAGATACAAATTCTGAAACAGGGTAGGTATGTTTTCTCTCTTCGTTCTGATAATATTGTGAGAAAAAAAATTTCAGAAACGATTATTTCACATAATTTTTCGTAACTTTCATCTATTCGGGGGTGGTTTCCAGGGTGAGTTTTGAGATACAAATTCTGAAACAGGGTAGGTATGTTTTCTCTGTTCGTTCTGATGATATTGTGAAAAAAAAAATTCAGAAACGATCAT